CATGGTGGTGACAGTAACTTAGAGACAGACAGACAGACAGACAGACATAGAGAGAACGACAGAGAGACAAAGAGAGACACAGACAGAGAGAAACAGACAGACAGGCAGACGTACAGACAGACAGACGGACAGACCGGCAGACAAAAATCCCAGTTTGACAGACAGAGACTCAGACAGACAAACAAACCGGTGGACAGACGGACAGACAAAAGGGATAGACACAGATAGAGAGAAAGTAATATCGAGATACAGACAGATTGAGATACAGAGACCAGGAGAGAGGGAGACAAAACAGGGGGATACCGGGGAAATAGAGGAAGCAGGTAACTGTCAATATCGGTCATCTCACAACCCGTGTTTTTTGTTGTTTTTTTACCTTGAATTTCAGCCTCGAAAGAACTAGAGGACATGCCCATCACGCCAAAACGGCCAATGAAAATCCTCCTGTTGGGTTACATGAGAAGCGGCTCCACTTTCTGCGGCGACATCCTGCAGGTTTGACATTCTCATATACATGTACATGTTGTTCGTCGTTGTGTCACGATACCTTGAACCAATAAGGTGGGTGGTTGGCGGGTGCTGTGGTGTTGTTCACTCCTTCTTTCCTATCAAACTTCTATTGTCCCATTCTCTCCTCCTTTTTTTGAGTTTGGTAATATCTTCTTACACACCTTTCATCTTCAGCACTAATATGAGCTAATTGTGTTGCTTGTCGTAGAACTCTTATTGAAACTAAAATTAACGAACCGTAAAGGGCATAAACTGCATCAGCAAGAGATTGACACAGTAAGTTGATAGTACACAAGACTTAAGGCTGACACTGCAACATTTTGGAGAGATTTAATCATAATTACTGCTGTGTACCTTTCTTTCTATTACTATGACTTCTTTCGTTCTTTTAGCGAATGCATTCGAAACAGAGGTGCTGAAATTTTATTAGTATTAGTCACTTCACCCATCTTGGGGTTGGAATCACCAAGGCTTGTTTTTGTCCAAAGGATTAAGGTGAATGTTTAAAGAGACAGAAATTAAGGAAATAATACACAAAATCAAAAGCTTGTCGCCTTCAGCTGTTTGCACGCAGACAATAATCCCTACTAAAAAAACGTGCCAGTTAAGCTTTCCGGCGAATGGACATAAAGATTAGAATCAGTATGTTGAACTTTTCTGCAGTGATATCAAAAAGAAAAAAAAGAAACAAACAAGAAGCTTTAGAAAAACTATTTAAGATGCTACGTTGGTTGCGGTAAACCCAGGAACAAAAAACAGGACAGTGATCCTATGGCCGTTCCCAGACATGGGAGTTTTTTATTAGACATCTGGTTAGATGATATGATATCACTATATTTCTTTGTGAAGGATGCATTAATTTGCTTCTCCTCTCCCTCGACGGTAAGGGGTTTTCTGTTGTAGGAGGGGAATGAGTGTGTTTATGGGAGTGATTGCAGCATTGCCTGGCCCCACCCCACCCCACCCCCACCCGTGGTAAATTGTTAGTCTAAGAAGCTATTACCAAACTTTGATTACTTTAACTAAGATTACGAATGCGGGGTAAAAGGATCCGTAGAGGAGAAGACTAAACTCTGATAGATAGTCATTCCTTTCATGTGTAGTTGTAGAAGCCACATTATCGCCCACATGGCGTCTCGTGTGGAACCTTTGTTTCTAATTGTTGTGTCTCAGGACGTGTTCACTTCGCCGACACAGCCACAACCCACGCATTAACATTAACGGTTGCGGGTGGGATGGTTTCAGTCTGACCCGTGCGTATCGAGCATGCTTTATCCTTCGGGGGGTTAAGCATCGTGAGCTCTCACTTAAGTTGCTTCCGTTCCATCGCGAGGCAACGGTAAATCGAGAGAATTGTTTAAAGTGGCGCCTCTCTACCCCCTCCCCCCCCTGCCCTTTTCCCCCAAACACAGACTATCGGTTGAGACGGCGCCTTTTGTGTGTGTGTGTGTGTTTGTGTGTGTGTGTGTGT